GACGGTTGAAAATGGTCCCGTTATACAAAAGACTGAGTTCGGTTGGATCGTGTCCGGTCCTATCTCAGCAAGCTTCACTACCTCTATGCTCACAACTACTGTATTACCACACCAACAAGATGTAGTTAAAAATTATATAAACGCCCGAATTAATTTAGATGACCAGATAACGAAATTTTGGCAATTAGAAGAGGTCAAAACTAAAAACGTTTTAAGTTTAGATGAAAAGGCGTGCCAGTTGCATTTTGAAAATAATACCAAACGGAATGAAAAAACTGATCATTATCCGGAAGCTTGTAGAGCATTGCATGAAGATTTTTATATGGATGACCTCCTAAGTGGTTCAGATACTTTAGAAAAGGCGGTCAAGTTAAGAGATGATTTAATATCAATCATGGAGAGTGCTGGTTTCAAGTTGAGACAATGGTGTAGCAATGAACCACTGTTGTTAAGAGAATTACCTTTATATTTAAGGAAAGTTGATGACGATGTAAAAGAGCCTAATAAAAATATTACTAAAATCCTTGGATTATATTGGAATCACGAGAACGATTGCTATCAATACAATATAAAACCAATAAAAATATCTGGTCGATTTACAAAAAGACTAGTTCTATCCGAAATATCGTCGCTATTCGATCCACTTGGATTAATCGCTCCAGTAATAATTAGGTTTAAGATGATTATGCAACAGTTATGGTTGCAAAAAATNGTTTAAGATGATTATGCAACAGTTATGGTTGCAAAAAATAAATTGGGATGACGTTTTACCTATTCCATTACAACAAGATTGGTCAAAAATGCGTGTGGAACTGGAGCAAAATAATAATATTAAAATCAATCGTCTAGTTCTCGGCATCGAAAAAATTAAAAAACTAGAATTACACGCGTTCGCTGACGCAAGTATGCAAGCCTATGGTGCTTGTATATACACACGCGCTACAGAAATTTATGGTAAAGTAGTAATAAATTTATTGTGTGCAAAATCAAAAGTCGCGCCATTAAAGGTAGTTTCGTTACCTCGGCTCGAACTGTTAGCTGCGCTTTTGGCCGCTCGCCTTATGTCAAAATATGCACCAAAATTACAGTTACCTATAAATGAATATTTTTATTGGACAGATTCGACACTGGTATTAAATTGGTTATTATCTCCGTCGTCTCGTTGGAAAACTTTTGTGGGAAACAGAGTAAGTGAAATACAAGAGTTAACGTCTGTTTCACAATGGAGGCTGTTGCGTCCAGCGACAATCCAGCGGACATAGTGTCAAGAGGCTGTTTTCCATCACAAATGAAAGGTTTAGATTTATTGTGGAACGGACCTAGTTGGTTGAAAGGGGAACATACTCAATGGCCAAGTAACTTTCAAGAACTTACTTCTAAAAGTGAATATTTGTCTGAAGAAAAAGTAATTACTAATTTATTCTTAACAACGGAAAATAATTCTTTTAATCAAATTTTTAAATTATTTTCTTCATTAAGTAAANCAATTTAAAATTATTTTCTTCATTAAGTAAACTTTTACGTGTTGTGGCTTATTGTCTTCGTGTGAAGTCTAATTTTTTATCGAGTGACACTAATATTTATGGTCCTGTTGAAGCTACAGAAATTGAAAATGCCCTTAAACGATTAGTGAAGGTAGCGCAACAAGAAGAATTTTTTACTGAGTTGTGTGACTTAAAAAACTCAAAATTAGTGTCCAGTAAAAGTAAACTTTTTCGTCTTAGACCATTTCTAGACGACGATGGTATAATCAGGGTAGGCGGTAGATTAAAACATGCCGTCTCACTATCATTTTTTCAAAAACATCCGATAGTGTTACCCGCTGATAGTGATTTTACAAAATTATTATTTCTGGATGAACACGAAAAATCATTACACGCCGGTCCACAAGCGATGTTAGCTAATATACGTTTGAGATATTGGCCGATTAATGGACGTAATATAGCCAGAAATATATCTAGAAAATGTGTCAAATGTTTCAAATACAAACCGGTTGTATTTGAGCCCATCATGGGTGACTTACCTAAGGACCGAGTCGAACCAGCGCGAGCTTTTGTTAAATGTGGCGTAGATTTTGCTGGTCCAGTGTTTGTGCGGTCTANGGAACCAGCGCGAGTCTTTGTTAAATGTGGCGTAGATTTTGCTGGTCCAGTGTTTGTGCAATCTAGTTTGCGAAGAAACGCGCCTAAGACTAAAGCGTATATCAGTATCTGGGTTTGTCTTGTCACAAAAGCTATTCATATAGAATTAGTAGGCGATTTGACAGCGGAGTCTTTCCTTANTATAGGCGATTTGACAGCGGAGTCTTTCCTTAATGCGTTACGGAGATTCTGTGATAGACGTGGTTATTGTACGGACGTATATTCAGATAACGGAAAAAACTTTGTTGCGGTTAATCAACAACTTCGAGAAGTTCATGAACTTTTAGCTAAACCAGAAGTTAAAAATGAATTGAGTAATAAAGGAACGTGACGTAACGAATATTATGGAGAACAGACTAACTCGCTGGAGGCGTGTTGTTCAAATTACGCAAAAAATATGGATT